AAGAGCGTGTGCTACCGCAACTACAACGACACGTGTGAGAACGAGCTCTCCTTCAACATGACCAAGAAGATGTGCTGCTGCTCCTACAACATTGGCAAGGCCTGGAACAAGCCATGCGAGCCCTGCCCCACGCCAGCCAGCCGTAAGTCCATCTCTCCACAAGGGCATTTTGAAACTGTCGCTGCCCCCACCCCGCCATCGCTTTTCCAGCGATCCTGAGGCACAGACACAGACAAACTAGAGGGAAGGGAGGGAAAGCATCATGTCTGGCCTGTGGGGGAGCGCTGTGGGGACATGCATTGCACTAGAAGGGCACAGGACAGGGACAGTATCTGCGGAGAGGAGAGCCTAGTGCCACGTGTGTCCTTGGGATTCCCTGTGTGCCGGCACTTGAGACTCCCGGCTGAACACCCTGCATGTCCCCTCCCATAGTTGACCCTTGTCCCTCTCACCCCTCACTGCTCCCCGCTCTGCCTGCCGGGCATGGCCATGACCTTGGTGTTCCCCTTCCAGCCGAGTACCAGATCCTCTGTGGGAACCAGGCGCCTGGCTTCATCATCGACATCCACACAGGAAAGCCGATCGGTGAGTAGAGCCCCCGTGCCCTGTGGAGCACTCAGTGAAAACAGGGTGAATGTCCTGAGCAGGATCCCTCCCAGCGCGTGCTGTGTAGACTCTGCCAGCAGCCCTGTGGTTCCTACACCTCGTGTGTCTCTGTTGTGGAGCGTGACCTCCGCAGAGCAGCCCTAGCCTGGGTGATGTGCAGGATCCGGTACCAATCCTCCAGCAGTTGCTCTACTGCTTGCATGGTGGCCCTTTCCTGCCAGTCTTCTTTCTGGAATGGACCAGGGCAGCAGTCTCCAGGCTAAGGGGGATGCTTTCTTCCCTACTGGATGACACTGAGCCATGTTGTCTGTGCGCAGATATCGATGAGTGCAGCGAGATCCCGGCTATCTGCACCAACGGCGTCTGCATCAACCAGATCGGCAGCTTCAGGTGCGAGTGTCCCATCGGCTTCAGCTACAACAACATCCTGCTCATCTGCGAAGGTAACGGGGCAGGGTGATGGTGCTACGGGCATGCAGGAAGCGGGGTTCTAAGCCTGGCAATAGCATCTCCCCATCCCCTGGGGCTCCCCAGGTGAGGGCTGTCAGCAGGTGTGTGGAGAGTCTACGTGTTCTTGAAACCTGCTTCATTTTCTGCATCAGTGGTTGGACAAAAAATGCAGATTTTCATTCAGGTTCCTGACTGGTTTTCTCCCCCTCTGTTTTTTTGGGATTGTGTTCTTTTTAGAAAAAGTTTGCAAAGTTTTGAGCTGTAACTAAAATCCCCATTATTTTCTTGCAAAGCAATAGAAAAGAGATTGCAAAACTGACCCTGACTGGAACAAACCAAGGGTTAAAATTCAGGTGTCTCCACTGAGCTGCTCCAGCCCTACCAGGGTGACGGTGCCTGGTGAGTGCTTGGCCCAGCCAGGGTCCCCATTGCTCTTGTCTCCACAGACATCGACGAGTGCAGCAGTGGGGAGAACCTTTGTCAGCGCAACGCGGACTGCATCAACATCCCGGGCAGTTACCGGTGCGAATGCTCAACTGGATACAAGCTGTCACCCAGCGGAGCCTGCGTGGGTGAGATGAAAGCTCTTTGTAACCCGTTCCAGAGACGTGTGCGAGGCCCTGACACCCCTGCTGAGGTTCTTCAGGTGGTTTTGTAGACCACCATGTGTTGGACCCAAGGAGGGAGGAACCCGTCGCAGTGGGAGGTGCCCTTGCCCATGGCAGGGAGTTGGAACGAGATGATCTTTAAGGTCCCTTCCAACGCAAACCACTCTGTGATTCTGTGAAGGACATGCCAGTCCCATGCATGGGGTCCTGGTCCTTTGTCAGGCCTGGGGACTGTGAGCTGACTGTGCTGTGGTTATGGCATACCTGCACTTTTGGAACGATTCCCAGGGACTGATGAGAAAAGGCTCACAATGAAGTGCAGCTTTCATCTGGCCACACAGACCATTTTTATTTTTTTTTAGAGATCGCAGTGCATAGATCTTGTTCTCTGTGAGACCAGCTCTCAGAAAACCTTGCTCTGCTGGGCTGCTGCTGACAGACACAGCTTCTCACTGCATCCACGAGACGCGTGCCTCAGCTCTTCCCATTTGGTCCATCCCTTCAGCTCACGAGCACCTGCTTTGCTTCATTGCAGGTCGCAACGAATGCCAGGAGATCCCCAACGTCTGCAGCCACGGGGACTGTGTTGACCCCGAGGGCAGCTACGTCTGCATCTGCCACAATGGCTTCAAGGCCACGGGGGAGCAGACCATGTGCATGGGTCAGTGTGATTTCCACAGCTCTGCTCTGAATCCCAAGTCAGGATGGACGTGAGCTCTTTCCATGACCCGCTGGGTAACACTGGGGACAACCAAGGGCTGCAGTGTCCTCACCATCCTGGGCTGGCCCTGCAAGCCCTAGGGCTGTGGTGCAGCTGCTGGAGCCTGTCTGCACGCCCAAGGTGGTGGCTTTCCACTGGGCCAGCCCTTGAATCGGCTGTGACCTTCTCTCTGCAGACATTGATGAGTGTGACCGACAGCCCTGTGGAAACGGGACGTGCAAGAACACGGTTGGCTCCTACAACTGCCTCTGCTTCCCTGGCTTTGAGCTCACGCACAATAACGACTGCATGGGTGAGCTGCACGAAATCCTGATGGATCAACGTGGCGATGGCCACTGGCGGGGGTCAGCTGGGTGGTTGTATGCATCAGAGGTGTAGGGCTGGCACACTGACACTCACAGGCTGTGCATATCTCTTCCCGTTGTGCTTATCCTCTCCCTCCCGCAGACATTGATGAGTGTTCATCCCTGGTGGGGCAGGTGTGTCGAAACGGGCAGTGCATCAACAGCATCGGCTCCTTCCAGTGCCTGTGCCAAGAGGGGTATGACCGGACCCCTGATGGGAAGAACTGTGTGGGTGAGTGTCCGGGCGGCAGGACGGCCCTTCTCAGTGGGTTGAGCTGTCTGTTGGCATGGATGGCACTATGCAGTGCTACAAGATGTGGTCCACCAGCTGGTCCCATCAGAGGCAACTGAGCAAAAGACTCTTCAGAACCACTCACAAGGCCCCAGGTCCTCTGGAGCCCAAACCTGGTCATCTGCCTGCCCATGGAGAGCTGGACTGGGCCCCACTATACCTCCATCACCCTTCCAGCAATGCAGGGAAACAGCCAAGCCAGTTCCTTTCCTTGTGGTGAGACCTGCAGGCAATGAGGAGGAACGTTGTCCTAGCACATGGAGTTGTACCAAGGATGTCTCAGGTTCTATCCAGCAGGCAGGGGCTGTCGAGGCAGCTAGGTCTGTTGTGTTCTCTTTGCTTTTGCCCACCACTGCCTCCTGCAGCTCCAGGTCCTACAGAGACCATGTCTCCAGGGTACCTAAGGTAGAACATCCTGGAGAATGTCTTATCTGCTTCCCGTGCATCTTCTGGGCAAAGCAGGGTGCAGCTGTAGGCAGGGGCTGGGTGCAGTAAGGTGCCCTGCATCTGAGTCCTTCAAGCTGGGCACAGACACTGCCACTGGTTTTCCCTCCTTTGCAGACATCAATGAGTGTGTGAGCCTGCCTGGGACCTGCTCCCCGGGCACCTGCCAGAACCTGGAGGGTTCCTTCCGCTGTATCTGCCCCCCTGGGTACGAGGTGCAGAACGACAACTGCATCGGTAATGTTGCCTCTCTGCCTCCTCCTTTTCCAGCACAGCATCTGGTCACCTGGGACTATTCCCGGAACAACCATATTCCTCTTGGGTGGGCTGGGGCATGTGTCATCACCCCCAAATATCTTCCTGAAAGCAATTGGACACGGGAGGGGGGAGGCTGAGTGGTCTTGCTGTGCTCTGGCCTCTTCATTGCCCCATTTACCCTGAGGGTGGGTCGAGGGTTTGGGCCAGAGTGATGTCCTGCAGGCATCAGAGCTCCCCAGTCATCACAGCTTCATCTGCTTTTGATGCGGTGAGGAGAGGAGTGAGCTTTGGCTGCTCTGTAAGTGATGTCCCTGGTGCTCTCAGATATCAATGAGTGTGAAGAGGAGCCCAACATCTGCCTTTTCGGGACGTGCACCAACACCCCCGGCAGCTTCCAGTGTGTCTGCCCTCCAGGCTTTGTGCTGTCTGACAACGGCCGACGCTGCTTCGGTGAGTGGAGCTCCTCACGGCAAGGAGGGGAGCGTGACCGTCCTGGATGTCTGCAATGACCCGTACATTTCCCCGTCCTCCTACAGATACTCGCCAAAGCTTCTGCTTCACTCGCTTTGACAACGGGAAGTGCTCTGTCCCCAAGGCCTTCAACACCACCAAGGCTCGGTGCTGCTGCAGCAAGATGCCTGGAGAAGGTTGGGGAGACCCGTGTGAGCTGTGCCCGCAGGAGGGGAACGGTAGGTGTGCCGGCGCCCGGCTCCATGGGTGGGATGGCTGCACGTGTCTCGGACATGCACAGGGCGTGGGGAAGGTGTGCGGGTCAGGCAAGACAGCCGGCAATGCGAGCCATCCAGTGAAGTTGGCTCCTCCATCTAGAGGTTACTGCCTTGAAACCTAGCAGCCCTTACTGGACTGCAATATTCCCTGTTCCAGCAGCCACAGTCAGGCTTTTTTCTTTTTCGGATCTGCTCTCAGCTTGCTGCAGGGTTTTAGATAAGGGAAAAGCATCTCAGGGCTTCCAGATCCAAGGAAAGCACAGGTGTCTTGCAGCCAGCTGGGGTTTTGTGGCTTCCCATGGGCACTGAGCTGTCAAGCTCCCTCAGTCATGCTCTAGAAGCCTCCAAAGCACATTTCAGCTTCTGTGAGTAGAAGCACTCGTAAGCAAACCTCACTTTTCTGCTTTCTTCCAGTTGCCTTCCAAGAGCTGTGTCCTTATGGTCATGGAGCCATCCCAGGCCCAGGTGACACCCGAGAAGGTAAGGTCTGATCTAAGGGGGAGAAGAAGTTTGTTTTGCCAGAGGGTTGCCTAGAAGCAACCCAACTTAGGCTGTTGGGAAAGCCGAGTTGGATCCCGGTGGCGGGAGGGGAGAGATGTAGAACTGGGTGCAATGCCTGACTGCTCACCAAATGTTCAGCCCCCAGCTCTGGAGAGGCAATATCTGAGATTGCAGGGTCGGTCCTGAGAGGACAGGGGTGTGCTCCTGGCTACATGCTCGCATGACATTCCTTTGCCTTGGTTTCCCCTTCTAGATGTTAACGAGTGCTCAGAGAACCTGGGTGTCTGCGTAAATGGGGCCTGCATTAACACCGACGGGTCCTTCCGCTGCGAGTGCCCCTTCGGGTACAACCTGGACTACACAGGAGTCAACTGCGTGGGTAAGGGTCTGCACGGGGGCACCCAACACCTCCTGCTTTAACCCTCCTTCGTCAGAGGCCGTGAGCCTGTGCGTGCACGTCTGCGTGGAGAGAAGGAACTTGCTTTTCCCCTGTCCCTTTGCTTTTTACCCCTGGCTTTGCTGGGCTTGTCTGACTGCTCTGAAGGGACCAGTCTGCACCGTATCTGACTGACCCACCTAATGTGGTCCCGGCTTCCTCCAGATACCGACGAGTGCTCCATTGGCAACCCCTGTGGGAACGGCACCTGCACCAACGTGGTGGGAGGCTTCGAGTGCACCTGTGATGAGGGCTTTGAGCCAGGTCCCATGATGACATGTGAAGGTAATGCTGCCGTAGGGCAACATGTTCACCCACCCCCATTGCATACTGGACCATATGTGTGACCCTCCCCGGGTCACTGCCTGGGTGAGCAGCAGTCGTGTCACGGGGCTCGTCTCCACATGAGTGTGTACACCAGCACTGGTCCCCTTCAGCTTCCTCTGAGGCTGAGGCCCAGGACGAGGTTTAGAGACCTCCCTAAATGCAAGAGCTCCCTCACCAAGGAGCCAGGGCCCTGTCGTCGTCAAAGCTGCTGAGACACCAGGTGTCTGTCCCTCTGCAGCTGAAGACTATGGTGGGAAACCTTGGCAGAACAAAGTTCCCATGAGATGAATGCACAGGGTGGGGGTCTGTCCTGGGGAGCTCCACCACCGTTCCTGCCCAGCTGACTGCTGAGAGCCCAGAGTCGAGCTGTCTCCTCTCTCCTGCCTCCCAGATATCAATGAGTGTGCCCTGAACCCCCTGCTCTGTGCTTTCCGCTGCATCAACACCTTTGGCTCCTACGAGTGCACCTGCCCATCTGGATATGCCCTCCGAGAAGACAGAAGAATGTGCAGAGGTAAAATCCCCTTTTGTGTGCATCAGGGGAGCTCCCACGCTCTCCCCAGCCCCCTTAGCCAGTCTCTGGTGTCGTGCAGAGAGAAGGTAGAACTTCTGAACTGGCATCTTGGGGCTTGTGCTCACTCTCACCCACCTTGGTGGGTGCCAGCCAGCCTGGACCAAGGCCGTGGGGAGAGCACTCAGCTCCCAGTTGCTCCCACAGCACTGGGCGGGTTGAAGGTGGTCTCATGAGGTTCTCGGTTGCAGATCTGGATGAGTGCGCAGAGGGACTGCATGACTGCGAGTCTCGAGGGATGCTGTGCAAGAATCTCATCGGCACCTTCATGTGCATCTGCCCACCAGGAATGCAGCGCAGGCCTGACGGAGAGGGCTGCACAGGTACTGGGAGGGCTTCCCGGTGGGGCTGGAGACCATCCTCTTCTAGCCATTGTCTGTGTAGTCCTTCTGTCAAACAGGGTTTACCGCGTGTCAGAACTTCCCCGTATGTCCTACTGGACGCCTGCACACACAAAACCTCTTTTCATCTCTGGACCTGTGGTTCTACACAGTTCCTGCACAGAATGACATGGCATTATGCCACATGTCCTTTCTGTTGAGTCTTTCCATGTCCGTGCCAAGCTTTTTTGCACTGAGCTTATTTTGGAAGGGCCAACACTGGGCAGCCCAGACCTGCA